CAAGGATACCGCTCTGCGCAAGCGCGAACGGGCGCGTCGCTGTTCACTCTCCAGGCGACAGCAACGCGACAGCAAGGACGTGGAGCTGCGCAAGCGCGACCAGGCTGCGCGCATTATACTCCTAAGACAACAGCAAGGCGGCAGCACGGACAGCTCAAAATCGCCTCATGGGGCCCAAGACGACACCAAAGCGGGGTCAAGGATACGGCCTTAAGCGAGCGCGAACGGGCGTGTCGCTTGTCGTTCTCATGGCGGCAGTATCGCGACAACAACGACGCGGAGTTGCGCACGCGCGAGCAGGCTGCGCGCTCGCTACCCCCAAGACAACAACAAGGCGACAGCACGAACAGTTCAACGTCGCCTTCGGGGCCCATTGCGACAGCAAAGCGGCGGCAAGGATGCCGGTCTGCGCAAGCGCGAACGGGCACGTCGCTGGTCATTCTCAAGGCGACAGCAACGCGACAGCCAGGACGCGGAGTCGCGCATGCGCGACCAGGCTGTGCGCCTTTTAATCCTAAGACTACAGCAAGGCGACAGCACGGACAGTTCAAAGTCGCCTCAGGGGCCCTAGACGGCACCAAAGCGGGGTCAAGGATACGGCTCTGTGCAATCGCGAACGGGCGTGTCGCAACACAAGTTTATCGCGCAAGAGGCGCTCTCAATGTGATCCCAAGACAACGCCAATGCGAAATCAAACTGCGAGATGCGCATCCCGCCCAGGACCTATGGGAGCCACATGTTTTATGGGTGGGGTCTTTTCATTCCTGAACTAAAGCTATGGTGTTAGATTGCATCAGGTGAGCCACGACCGACGAGCGTCTTGCCAGGAGGGGGGGACAATAGCTCCTGAACCCCCGCTGTCCTCAGGGCTGCCGTCGCGGCGAGGTCGTGTCTGCGAGCCGCGTGTGCACTCGGGCGCACTCACGCAACCACAAGGAAATCTGTGCGCGGCGATGCGTTTGTTTCTTTCAACGCAACAGCAAGGCGACAACACGGGCAGTCACGATCGCCTCAGGGGCCCAAGGCGACAGCAAAGCGGGGGCAAGGATACCGCTCTGCGCAAGCGCGAACGGGCGCGTCGCTACTCACTCTCGAGGCGACAGCAAAGCGCCAGAGGCCCAAGACGGCAGCAAAGCGGGGGCAAGGATACGGCTTTGCGCAAGTGCGTGCGGGCGCGCCGCTGTTCACTCTCAAGGCGACAGCAATGCGGCAGAGATCCAAAAGACCGCAAAACGCCGGCAAGGATACGACTTTGTGCAAGCGCGAAAGAGCGAGCGCGTCGCTGTTCACTTGTAAGGCGACAGCAACGCGACAGCAAGGACGCGGAGTTGCGCGTGCGCGAACAGGCTTGGCCGCTACAGAAGTGTCCTCGGAAGATCGCAAAAAAACGCTCAATACGACCACAAGACAACTCCAAGGCGAAATCAAACTGCGGGGTTAGCACCCCGCCAAGGGTTTATGGGAACTACATGTTTTCCGAGCGGGATGCTTTCATTCCTGAGTTATAACAGCGTCGTTCGACTACACCAGGGGAGCGGGATCCCAGCCAGACCTCGCTAGACGAGCGCCCCGCCAGGAGGGGGGTTCAATACCTCCTGAACCCCCGCTGTCCTCAGGGCTGCCGTCGCGGCGAGGTCGTGTCCACGAGCCGCGCGCGCAGTCGGGCGCAGTTACAAAAAATCAAGGAACTCTCGGCGCGGCGATGTAGTGGAATAGGGCGCAAGGGGGGGGGGCGTCCCCCGGCACGCATCACTAAACGAGGCCACACCAAACCCAGTCTTGCCAACGTCCGTTCTAGGCCTCCCAACTGGGGCCGATGCAGACGGGGTCTGCGGATCGCGCCATATCGCCGATACAGCGGCAATGCGTCTCGATCCGCGTCGGTTGCTCCGATGCATCGCCGACGTCCCCGATGCATCGGCGATGCATCGGCGCGATCCTCCGACCCCGTCTGCTCGGACCCCATTTGGGGGGCCTCTAGCTAAATGGGGGCGACGATAGGGAGGTTAGGAAGTTTCGCTGTTCGAAGTTTGAGGTCTTCGTGCGTTTTTGCGGATTCTCGGCGGCTTTCCATCCTCAGAATGCTTTCGAGCGGCTGCGCCTCGCCGGGGGCCTTCCGGAGTTACCCGGATCGTCCCGAACGGCCGCTGGAGGCCTGAGCTATGACACGGAAATCACTAGAGAAATAGCTCAGGGGGGGGGAACATTGACCGGGACTCGGCGATGCATCGCCGATGGATCGGCGATAAGCGGCCCCCATCGGCGATCAGTGGGCGATTGGGGGTCGATGTATTCCCCCTTGAGCCTATCCCCCCCTATAGTGTTGCCCCGCGCCTCAAAGGAGGAAGCGCGGATACCGACGATCTTACTCAGAGGAGGGCGAGTCGAGGTAGCGGTGGTTGGCTTTCGGGGTGGGCCCTCGCCGCCATGGCTGGGCGCAGCTAGGGAAGGTGGCGCGCTTGGACCCTGGGGAGGGGTCTGGGGACCGATCTTGAGCTGCCGGTATCTCAACTCTCCCTGCCCCGGGCTACCCTTCCGTCGCCTCCGCGGCTGGATTCCCTCGACACTCCAGGCCAGAACACGCCCCCAGGAGAGGTCCGCGGAGCGGCGGCACCTGTATCTTTGCGATCCCCCAGGCCCGTCCCGTGCCGAGGCAGTCGTCCGCCGGGCCAAGGTCCGCAGAAGGCATCCCCTGAGATCCAGGCGTAGCACTTTACGTCCACGCTGGGCCATTTCGGTGGGGTTCACTTCGTTTGGGAGCTCCCGAACGAAGCGAACCCCACCCTCCCCCTCAGAAATCGTGGGTGGTAGGGGTAGGGTTCGCATGTGGCCCCCTATGGGGGCCCTCACGGACCCAGACACGCTCGCGTCGTGAACAAAAGCACGACGGGCGGTTTCTGGCAGTCTGCGGCCTCCGGGAGCCCTCGCCGGGCCTTGGGACCGTGAGGGAACAAGTCGGGATGACAAACCGGCCCTGGGGCAAGGGTCAGGACTCCTGGGGACCCCGTATCGAAAATATCAGGACATCGCATGTCTTGGAGTCGATCCGGCTTGACAGCTGATGACGCAGGAAGATGAAGTCTGGGGTTCTGGTCGTGTTTTTGTTACGCGAGGCCGTACTTTTTTTCCGTAACGTTGGATCTCAGGGTCCGTGCACCATCCTCCGCCGTGCGTGGCCAGGGCCGTCCTCGGGTTCCTTGGCGTTGTGTGGTGGTGGTGGTGGTGGTGGTGGTGGTGGTGGTGGTGGTGGTGGTGGTGGTGGTGGTGGTGGTGGTGGTGGTGTGGGTCGGTCGGCTGTGCTCGGGGGCGAAGGACATAACCGCATCCGCGGCCTCGCGGGCAGGGTCCCTGGGCCGCGAGGCCGCGGACACAGGGGCGTTTTCTTGCGGATTCCCCGCGCGGGGCGCATCTGTGCGACCGCGTATCCGCGGGTTCGTACCCGGGAGCCCAGGCCGCGAGAGCGGGGATGCAGATGTGTTCGCCGCTCGGGATACGCGCCAGGGCGGCCCTTCGCGGGACGGGGCTCTGGTGCTCGGCATGTCGGGGGTGGGGCCAGCTCGGCGAGGCACAGGCCAACGCACGCCCGACCACGCGCCGAGGGGGCAGGGGGGGGGGGGCTTCTCAGAGGGAGGCCGCTGCTTAGAAGGCGCGGGCCTCATCGAATCTGTCGACGTGAGGCCCGCGCCTTCTGAGGAGCAGCATCCTTCTGAGAAGCCTCCTCGCCTCCTCCATGCCCCCCTTCCTGCGCGCCGCCCAGCACGCAGCCCGCCATCCAGAGGTCCTGTCGCATCGCATGCAGCGAGCCGCGCGCCAGCGGGCCCCCCCCCACGCCCAGGAGGCACTCGCGCGTGCGGGCGGGCGCGGGGTCCCTCGGCGCCGCCGTGGGGGCAGCGTGGTGGCGCGCCCTCCCGGGTCCTAGGCCCAGAGGGTCCGTCTGTGGACCACCCCGGGGGCCCAGGACTGCCCTGGCCAGGCACGGCGGCCGCGAGCGTGCGCCTTCTGCGCGTGAGGGCTTCTCCGACGTCAAAGTCCGGCGCAAGCGCAAGAAGGCGGCGTCCTCCAGCTCCCCCCGCTTCCCGCCCCCTTGCGGGGTGAGGGTGGGAGGGTGGGAGGAAGGCAGGGAGGGGACGTAAGGAGACGGGAGAGAAGGGGGAAAGGGGGGGTAATAAGTGCTAGGCGTGGCAGGAGGAGGAGGAGGAGGAGAAGAAGATGAAGGGGGGAGGGGATGATGATGATGATGCTGATGATGATGATGCTGATGATGATGAGGAGGAGGAGGAGGAGGAGGATGAGGATGAGGATGAGGATAATGATGCTGATGCTGATGCTGATGCTGATGCTGATGCTGATGCTGATGCTGATGCTGATGCTGATGCTGATGCTGATGCTGATGCTGATGCTGATGCTGATGATGATGATGATGATGATGATGATGATGATGATGATGATGATGATGATGATGATGATGATGATGATGATGATGATGATGACGAGGAGGAGGAGGAGGAGGAGGAGGAAAAGGAGGAGGAGGAGGAGGAAAATGAGGAGGAGGAGGAGGAGGAGGAGCAGGGCCATTCTGGCCCCATGCGCGGGGGGGTGCTCCTCACCACCCGCGGGAGGGGGCGTGGGGCCGAGCGCGCTGTCCGCCACGCGGCGGACGGCGCGCCGTGCGATACGCTCGCCAAGATCATCACCAACAAGATCAGCATTCGATGCATCATGATCCACACGAGCATTACCAACATCGGCGTCAAATAGCTCGAGACCGTTGGAAGCCAAGGCCTACCACGACTGCAACATCAAGCACCAGCTGCTGAAGAGTACCAGGCTGCGAGACTGACCAGCATGACGGAAACGTACCGGCAAGGATGCCGAGACCGTGCACGCATAGAGGAGCATGGGCGCAACAGCGAACAGACGCGGCCCATCAACGAGTGTGGTACAACATCTGGCATGGAATACAGCATCGACCCGACGACATTCTTATCAGTGCGGGCGGCTGCGTAACATGCAACCCAAGTGCGAGAACGAGCTACGCAACAGGCAACCCAAGGAGGAGAACGAGCTGCGCAACAGGCAGCCCAAGCACGAGTGCCACACCACTACGTCACCAAGACCGACGCCAGGGACGACACTGCCGAGCAGCCCTAACAGGAGGTCACTAAGTGCGTCGTCGTGGAGGCACCGGTGGGCAATGGCCGCGCCGCCGACGACAAATACACGACAGGGTTTTCGATAGCGTCCTGCGCTCCTACGACCCCCACGCCTACTCCGTCTTCCAGGACTACAACGGGCCGCAAGGCTACGTCGCCCGCCAGAACTACAAGGATACCCAGAACGTGGAACACTATGACTCGACAGACGACGACTCCGACTTGGACCTCCCGGAACCTTCAACCCGAGCTACTACGGCCACCAGCAGAGCTACTCATCAGACGACCTTCGGGGACCATAAGCTGAACTACGAGGACCACACGCACAGCTACGAGACTAACTTGAGGAGCTTCACGACCCACCGGCCGAGCTACGAAGGCCACAAGCAGAACCACGAGAGCCACAAGCTGAGTTACGAGGACCGCGAGCTGAGCTACGAGAGCCAAAAGCAGGGCTACGAGACCCACCAGCGGAGCCAAGAGGGCCACCAGGTCAGATACGAGGACCACCAGCAGAGCTATGTGGACGACCAGCTGAGCTACCGGAGCCACCTATTCAGCTACGAGAGCCATGAGCAGAGCTTCGAGAGCCATCGGCAGAGCCATGAGGTCCACCTGGAAAGCTACAAGGGCCACAACCTGAGCTTCGTGGGCAACGATCAGAGCTACCACAGCCACCAGCAGAGCTACCAGGGCCACCAGCGGCCCCTCGAGGATCGCGAGTTGAGCCACGAAGTGCAAAGTGCACAGCTACGAGAGCCACCAGAAGAGATTCAAGACCCGCCTGCCGGGCTGCGAGAGCCACCAGCTGAGCCACGAGAGCCACATCCTGAGCCACGGCGACCGCAAGGTGAGCTACGAAAGCCACAAGCAGGTCCACCTCCTGAGCTACGATGACCACAGGCTGCATTGCGAGAGCCACAGGCGGGGCCACGAGGACCACCTGCTGAGCCACAAGAGCCGCCAGAGGAGCTACGAGAGCCAGCAGCAGAGCTACGAGGGCCACGCGCGGAGCTACGAGGGCCGCTACCTGAGCTACGCGGACCACCAGCAGAACTAGTAGAGCCTCCCGAAGAGCTACCAGGGCGACGAGCTGAACTGCAACGGCCACCTGCTGAGCAAGGACAGCCACCAGCCGACCTGCGCGAGGACCACCTTCTAAGCTACTGGGACCACGCTCTGAGCTACCAGGCACCACGCTCTGAGCTACCAGGCACGAGCAGAGCTCCAAGGACCACAGGCAGGGTTCCGAGGTCCGCCAGCAGAACTACGAGGGCTACTCGTTAAACAGCTAGAGCCACCGGGCCCGGCCTCCATGCCACGTGGCTAGAACAGCGACCTTGACCAGCAGGGGCAACGCTACTACCACCGCGCGTTCCTGGAAATAACATCGCGGAAGCTGCCGCGTTCCAGGTCCGCCGCGCTGCCCCTCCGTAGCTACCTCAAGAAGCCAGCTGAGCCACCAGGGCATCCAGCAGAACTACGAGAACCACAACCTGAGCTACGCGGAAACCGAGCGGAGCTTCTAACTTCATCGGCTGAGCCACTTGGGCATGCAGAGCTGCGAGCACCACCCCTTGCTCTCTAAGGACTGCCACAAGAGCTTCGACAGCCACCAGCAGAGCTTCAAGGGCCACCAGCTGAACTACCAGTGCCACCAGAACTACCCAGGCCAACTGCTGAGCTGCGAGGACCACCCGCTGATTTAGGAGGGCTGCAACCTGAGCTACCTTGGTCACCAGCTGAACTACGAGGGCCAGGCCACCAGCGGAGTTGCGAGGGCGACCGCCAGATTTCCGAGGGCCACCCGAGCTACAAGGACAGCCAGCTGAGCTACGACGACCACCAGAAGAGCTCCGACCACGAGATACACGCAACATCGAAGCCAAATGCCGGGACGGATGGGACAGATAACATCAATCGCTTATTCGCACAATAGAGGCCGTCTACGAGGCGCGGCGCATCTCCCACGATGAAAGAGCGCTTCGCCATGACGCACCTTCGTATGAGAGGGCTGCTCCCGGCCCCACAGGAACTGCCACATGCTCTTCGTGTGGTACCTCGCGCTCGTGATGGTGAGAACGGCCAGTCTTCAGTTGGATCATTCCAGGTACAGCTAAACCGTTTTGAACTCGGAGGAAAATAGGCCCCTCGTCTACAGCGTTCCCGACAAGGGACGCCATGTACGTCGATACAAGACAAGGTACTACGTCATCCGCAGCCGCGACGACATCCCTTGAGTGGCCCCGCCGCTCAACCCATTCCTGGCCCCCATCCTTTACGATCCGCCTCGGCAGGGAGGTTTGGCGGCCTCCTTTCCCCCTTCCCCTCTCCTGACCGGGTCCTCTGGTGGCGTCCGCGGGGCCCCCGCATTGGCGCCAGGTCGGCCGCCCGCCCCGCCAGGAGGGCCCGGGTGCGCGAGCGCGGACGGGGACGCCCGACGGCGCCGCGAAAGTACGGAGGCAAAGGAGGAGCGGGAGGAGGATGAAAATAAGGAGGAGGAGGAGGAGGAGGAGGAGGAGGAGGAGGAGGAGGAGGAGGAGGAGGAGGACCATTGTAAGCCCAAGATGTATTAAAGATGTTTGAGTAAAGCCGCCCTCCAAGCTTCCTCATCGCAGGCCCCTACAAGGATCCACTTCCACTGAAGGAAGTGCCTCGTTGGAAGACATGCGTTTCAAGATCCTGAAGCGTCCCAAAGCACCATTTTCGGGACTCCAACGCCACGCATAAACTTGATTGTTGCGTTTTGACGGTCCTGAGTTGTACCAGAAAGCCGTTCCTGTGATCACAACACCGCAGATCAACGTAACTGTTCCGCCCTGACAATCCAGAATCGCTCACACACTTAATGCCTGGAACGTTAACCATCGGAATCGGCGAAACGATTGCACATGTTTAAGATGAGTGTGCGCGGCGCTGAGGTGATAGCCACGTTTTGAAAAGGAACCGACCTCAATACGTGCTTGTATGCGTAAAGACAAATAAGACGAGTACGGGCGTCGCTCAAGCGAGGCCCACACATTGAACAATCATCGCTTTCAACCAGTCAAACTGCTGCGTCTGTTTAAGACGGGCGTGCGTGGTGCCAAGGCGAGAGCCACGTTTTGAAAACCGGCCCGTCCTCAATCCGTGAAGCTCTTGCACATGTTTAAGATGAATGTGCGCGGGGCTACAGCGAGCGCCGCATTTTGAAACCGGCCCGCGCTCAGTCCGTGAATCCCTTACACTTTCAAGACGAGTGCACGCGGCGCGCAGGCGAGGGTCCGCCCTTCCGACTGGCCTCGGGGTGCGGCACGGCGGACTCGTTTGTAAGGGAAACGAATGGAGGAGGAGGAGAAGGAGGAGGAGGAGGAGAAGGAGGAGGAGGAGGAGGAGGAGGAAGAGGAAGAGGAGGACGAGGAGGAGGAGGAGGAGGAGGAGGAGGAGGAGGAGGAAGAGGAAGAGAATGGGGGAGGGGGAGGGGAAGGAGGAACAAGGTTGACGTCGACCAGCTGGTGGCCGACCACGGCGCCGAGAAGGCCAAGGACGTAGAGATGATCCTCCGGGGAAAGCCCGCGGCGTGTCCAGAGGACATGCTGCGGGCACGCTTCTCTGCGATCAAGGCGCGGGATGCTACGTTCATGGCCCGCACCGAGAGGGACGAGACGCGGCAGGGCGTGGACGAGCGCGCCCGCGGCTGGGCGGTGACTTTCGGCATGGAGGAGAGAGTGAAAGAGCTGGATGGCGAAGAGCTCAGCAAGGAGCAGAAGGAGCTGCTGACCGCAAAGAGCATCGAGGTGAAGGATGCCACGGGCAAGGAGTCAGAGGAGGAAAAAGGTACCCACACCGCTAATTACCCTTGCTTCGTTTTCCCCTACTTGGGCCTCCTGGGAAGCCCTCGTCGCCACCGCTGCATTCGCTTCGAAATCCTGGTCGGAACGCCCCATGGGAGAGGGCTGGGGCTTACCCGTATGGATACCTTCTGATTCCCCCAGGAGGTCGAGTTCGAGATGACCTGCGCCAACGAGATACTGCACTGCAGAGACATTTTCGTTGAGGACAAGAAGTGGGGCTTCATTTATCCCTGTGGCTCATGCCACTCCGCCTGGCGTCCTGGGGGAGGGCGGGCGCCCCACGGAGGGCAGGGAGGAGAGGGAGGTTGAGAGGAAGGAGGGCGTCCGAGGGAGGAACATCACGAGGAGAAGGGGGAGGAGGAGGAGGAGGAGGAGCAGGAGCAGGAGCAGGAGCAGGAGCAGGAGGAGGAGGAGGAGGAGGAGGAGGAGGAGGAGGAGGAGGTTGAGAGGAAGGAGGGCGTCAGAGGGAGGAACATCACGAGGAGAATGGGGAGGAGGAGGAGGAGGGACAGGAGGAGGAGGAGGAGGAGGAGGAGGAGGAGGAGGAGGAGAAGGACGAGGACGAGGACGAGGACGAGGAGGAGGAGGAGGGAGTTGGAGTTGGAGAAGTAGTTGGAGGAGGAGGACGACGACTGCGACGCCCGTTCACCCCCCGGCGAGCTGGGGCCGGGCGGCTTCTGGCAAGTCCGTCTTCGACAAGTGGAAGGCCCCCGCCGAGAGCGAGAGCTAGGTGCCCGGCGACCCCAGCAGCGACCCCCCCAGATGGGGGCGCTGGGCAGCGTCCTGGGCACTCTAATAGGCATGCGCTCGGGGAGCAAGCAACTGGCATGAAGATTAGAACTCTGGACACCGCGCGGCTCTCTTGGATCGGCGCTGGAGCCCCCTGGCGGCAACTCTGGCGCCACCGCTGGCGAGCTCCGCTCGCCACGGACGGGGGCCCAACTCAGATCCAAGAAATCCGCGCGCACCGTCAAAAGTTTATGTGTCTGCCGTTTTTGGTCCTTCGATCTAGGAAGCACAAGCGGCATACGGTCAGCAATCTTGGCTTAGCGTGTCGCTCTGCCACGTCTGGCCCACCACGCTTCGGCGCGACACGCTATCCGCGTCCCAGTCCCAAGGCGTCGACGTCCCGAGCTTTTCCCAGCCTCCCGCCCCGCGGACAGAAACTACACGCTATCCGCTGGCAGGGTATGCCATGTCGCCGGGGCCGCCGCAGCGACACGCCAAGCAACAGTTCCCGACCGAAAACATAAACTTTCGGAGGTCCGAGCGGAATTCTTGGATCGGCGCTGGGCTCCTCCTGGAAGCTTCCGGCGCCGCCCCTGGCTTGTTCCGCGCGCCAGGGAGAGGGGTCCAGCGCCGATCCAAGAACTCCGTGCGGACCTCCGGAAACGCATGCTCGTGCCGCTTTTCGTTGCTCTGCAGGGTGGAGGGGCGGGGGGGGGCGATAAATGGAGGGGCGAAGAAAGAAGAAAGGTTCACAACTTGTGCACCTTCGGGGGCCCGCCCTGGGCCCAGAAGGGGAGCGAACGGTGCACGTCTCTCCCCCGCCCCCGCCCCTGCTTTATCGGAGGGGCAAGAGGTCATGGTAATGATGCGTTGTAGGATTCCTCTGATGTCCCAGATTTTCAGCTTTTCCACGGGCTGCAGAGACGATGGCCGCCAGATGCCCTGGAGGTCCTGAAACGTATCCTGAGCCACTCCTCGCTATCATGACATTCCCGTCCCGTGTTTATCGCACCCCCGTCGAGCAGTGCCCAGACGAGTGCGGCCGCAGGTCGGGCGGGCGAGGCGGGGCGGAGCTCGCTCCTTCCCTCCCGCTGCCGCCGCTGCCGCTGCTCCAACTCTGAGGGCCTCCTCCGAGGGCCTTCTCCCGCTCTGGCTCCTGCGCCTCTTCCGTTCTTGCACGGAGGAGAGGAGGAGGAGGAGGAGGAGGAGGAGGAGGAGGAGGAGGAGGAGGAGGAGGAGGAGGACCAGTGTAAACCCAAGAGTCACCAAGGATGTTGGAATGAAACCCTCCCTCCAAGCTCCCTCTTCACAGGCCCCCGCAATGGTTCATTTCCACTGGGGGAACTGCCTCGTTGGAAGACAACCGTTTAAAGACCCTGAAGCTTGCCAAAACATTGTTCTCGGGATTCCAACGCCACGGATCAACCTGACTTGCGTCTTGACGATCCTGAATCATACCAGAGCGCCGTTCCTTGGACTTGAACACCGCGAATCAACGTAGCTATTGCACCCTCATAACCTTGACTTTGCACCAGAACAGCATTTCTGGTACGCTGATCATGGGAATCCGTGAAACTCTCACAACTGTTAGAACCGAATGTGCGCGGCGATGAGGCGAGAGCCACGCTTTGAGAAGGAACCGGCCTCAATCCGTGAAGCTCTTGCAACTTTTGAAAACGAATGTGCGCGGCGCTAAGGCGAGAGCCAAATTTTGAAAACGATTCGCTTTCAATCCGTGAAACTCTCTGCAAATATTTAAAACGAATGTGCGCGGCGCTCAGGCGAGAGCCACATTTTGAAAACGACCCGCCCTCCATCTCTTGAAACTGTTGCCAATGTTAAAGCTTCAGGGTCATAAATGGTGAGGAAGTCTCAGGCGAAACGCCCGGCCCGCCCTAAAAACTGGCCCCGGGTGAACAGGAAGAAGTTATGTATAAAAGATGATTGGGGGAAGAGGCGGCGGAGGAGGAAGAGGAGGAGGAGGAGGAGGAGGAGGAGGAGGAGGAGGAGGGGGAGGAGGAGGAGAAGGAAGAGGACGAGGAGCATGCTGATGCTGATGTTGATGGTGCTGATGCTGATGCTGCTGATGCTGCTGCTGATGATGATGCTGATGATGATGATGATGATGATGATTATGCTGATGCTGCTGCTGCTGCTGATGATGATGATGATGATGATGGTGATGGTGATGGTGATGGTGATGGTGATGATGCCGGTGCTGACGATGCTGATGCTGATGCTGATGCTGATGCTGCTGATGATGCTGATGATGCTAATGATGATGCTGATGCTGATAGTGTTGATGCTGATGGTGATGACGATGATGATGATGCTTCTGATGATGCTGCTGCTGATGATAATGCTGCTGCTGACGACGATGCTGATGCTGCTGATGATGATGATGCTGATGATGCTGATGCTGTGCTGATGATGATGATGATGATGCTGATGCTGATGCTGATGATGATGATGATGATGATGATGATGATGATGCTGATGATGATGATGATGATGATGATGATGATGATGATGATGATGATGATGATGATGATGATGATGATGATGGTGACGACGAGGCGGCGGAGGAGGAAGAGGAGGAGGAGGAGGAGGAGCATGCGGAGGGAGCTGGATCATCATCAGCAGCAGCAGCAGCAGCAGCAGCAGCAGGTCGCCTCACCTCGTGGCGAAACGCCCTCCTCACCTTCCTGCTCCCGCTCACGATGTTGCGATCGATGTTTTACTCTCTGGGCACTCCCCAAGCGCCTTGTCTGGCCCCGCCCTGCCTGCGCTTGCTCCTCCTCGTTCTTGTTTACAACCTCCCCGCCATCATAGCCTCTGGTCCCTCCCTCGTGGGCAGTTCCCTCCCTGTCGCGTTGGTTACGTCGTCTGGAAATTGGGCTTCTTTTGAGCTCGCTCCTCCCCTCCCCCTCGAGCAAAAGAAACGTGGTGGCGAGAGCACAGTCATGACGCGCGCCGGCCTTCCCGCCCTCCTTGGACCCGCCCCCCCCTCGCCACTAACCTCCTCGGACTTTCCCCCTCCTCAAGGAGCGGCAGCGCATTTTCGAGAGGCATGCTCCGTGGCTTCACGCTTGCCTCACCGCGTTGCACTGGCATTGCACTGGCGCCGAAAAAAAAAATCTACGCAGTGAAGCAAGGTAGACATGGCATCGCTCGGACGTGTGCGTTTTTTTTTCCCGACGGGGACCGTCGAGGAGCATCTGAGATCACCGTGCGACTAATCAACGCACGACATCGAAACATGCACGGGGAATGGGCGTCCGAGCGATGGCAAGTAGAGCGGCATCGCATTGTGCACACTGTCCCGATCAATCTGCAGCGGGAAGATGGGGCTGCACGGGAAGGGATATTGCACGGCGCGCTGTCGTGCACCAGTCGGCGCCGTCCTTTGTTGAAGGGTGCCGTCGATGACTAGAGGTGCGTCTTCAGGGTCATCCATATCCTTGGGGAGATCCCCCTCCCCACTCCCCCCAGCCTTTCTTCCCCATGCTGCCCCTGCCCTCCTCTTCCCTCATTCCTTTTCCCGCACTCCCTTTCCCAACCTTCAAAGGGATGCTTTCGTCATTCTTAATCCTCATCTGACTTCTGTTCATGTCCACCTGATGGAGGCACTCATCCTGCTCCATCCTATGTATGCCCTTTTCTACCCCACCATCTCGAAGCCCCCCCCCGAGCCCGATGGAGCCGCCTAACATTCCCAGGGCTCCCTAGATCCCCGAACTTTCCAAACCCTCCTCTGCATCTCTCATGCTCCTTCTTCTGCTCCTCGTCCTCTTCCTCCTCCCTCCATCTCCTTCCTCCCCCTCATTCAGTATCAGCTATGTGCGCTCCTCCTCTTCCTGCGTCCCCACCTCTCCCCCGGGGCTGCCCCAACCTAATGTTGTATCCGTGTCGCTGCTTCCTCCTCCCCATGCCGCTCCTGCTGCGGCTCTTATACCTCCTCGTCTACCTCCTCCTCCTCCTCCTCCTCCCCCTGTCGATCTCTCTCTCGCTCTCTTTCTGTGTCGTCGCCGTCCTCCTCCTCCTCCCGCTCCTCCTCCCTCACTCTCTCTCTCTCTCTGCCGTCGTTCTCTCTCCCTCTTCTCCTCTTCGTCGCTCTCCTCCTTCTTTTTCTCCTCCTCCTCCTCCTCCTCCTCCTCCTCCTCCGATCATTCGATTCTTGAGCGGCCACGTCCCTCCATGCGAGAGCCACGAGGCAGCTGGTGACCGACGAACGGCCACGCAAAGAGAGAAACGAGAGAGGGGCGCAACCCGCGATCGGTCCGCCGCAGGCAAGGCAACACGCCTCCCCACGAAACGCTTGGTGGATGGGTCCTTTCACGCCTTCAGCTGCTTAGGGATCTGCAGGGCTGCACGGTTGGGGGGGGGGGGGCCCAGGGCGAGGCACCCCGAGGAGCTTCCACCGAGTGGACC